CTGGGACTCTAAACCCTCGCCCCTGAGTTCCAGACTTAGTGCGGTCTAAGGACCTCCAATACCCAAAAACCACCCTGACAGTCGGTTCAGAAAGAGCAGGAACCCATGACAAGAGAGTAATAAGTCTTCCCTGCGCCCATACCCAAGTATGTCCTCGGGATAATAAGTCTGTGACTTGCCTATCGTCCAATGCAACGGCCGGTCCTTAACCGACATGGATAGGGAAAACAGTGTAACCAAGCTATGCCCCGTTGGCCGTAGGACACAACCTTTTACACCCACTAATACCCAAACCATATCCCTGCCCGGTCACCATTTATCATTTCCACCATTTATATTTTCCAAGTGATAATAATATAGTAATAAATTTCCTATCTCTCGCGAGTGACAGGCAATCACTTGACTTCTATCGGAGTCCTGTAGCATAGCATTCTACACGATCCTGTCATACTAGTAAGACTCATAGGATAAAGATATATATATGCAAGTGGGTTTCATTCAACTCCTTAAAACTTAATGCACAAATATAATTTAAAGTGCAGCAAAGTAGGGGTTATGCACCGGGACTTGCCTAGGTAAAATTTAATCAAAAGTTAGTATCTACATTTTCAGATCATCCACCATCAACTGAATAGAAAGCCCATTGCATCATCTCCTGGAGAGAATACCTTTACACCATCTTCAGATTCTCACTCATCCTTCACTTGATCCGTTGATCCATCATCGTACCGATATGATACGCAATGCGATGCAATACAAAGACGTAATTAATCGACTGCAATCTTGACTCGTAGAAATACGATTTATGCCACTCAAGCTAACAAGCTAGTTCTAACGACGACCGTACTTAGACTACGTATCTATGTTATCGAATAAGACATTATTTCCCAATAAATGTTTTAGTTATACAATCTCAAGGTGTTTCTTTATTCTATTCTATCGATTTAATCTTTATTCAAAGTGGGGCATCATTACCTAACTAGCAAACTAATTATTCTGGAACTACAAAAATTACAGTGAGCGGCTAATAATATTAGTAATTTACTGTAAAATTTTTAGAGTCAACACTATCACCGATTTATCACGGAAATTCCTACAAGTTCACCTTTTAACAATATTAAGCATGTTAAAATAATTAGAGCAACTCTAAAAATATACCGAATCTATGTGAACGAAACACCCTATCAGATAGATCATGATTTTAGAAACTCAACAAAACTGGTTTGGCATTTTTATGATTTTTCTATGATTTACTACGAATTTTATAAGTTTATTTCCGGAACTAAATTAGCTAAATGTTTTCTAGAACGAAAAGGGACGACGGCCGCTAAGCAGCCCAGTAGCCCCAATGCGGCCTGTGTGGAGCGTCCACGCGCGCAGCAGCGGCCCAGGCGCGGGCGGCACAAACCGGCCCAGCGCGCGGACGACGGCGACTGGCCGGCCCAGCAAGGCGCGCGGCAACGGTGCGGGCGGCCCAGGCGCGGCGGCGGCAGGCCGGCCCAGCGGGGCACGCGGCACCAGGCCCAGGGGCGGTAGTCAGCGGCAAGCCGGCCTAGCAAGCCGGCCCACGGGGGAAAATCCAGCGATGGCAGCACCACTTTGCGCCGAGACCCTGATCTTTCTTTAAATTAACCCGCGGTACTCTAGACACTATTCAACACTATTAACATGAGTCACGTATTTTGCAATAAGAACTCTGTATTAATTTCCATTCGCACTATCTCACCTTCCCTTCATCCTCAAGAGCAGAGGAGGCACGGGACGGGCGCGGCCGGCCAAATCCCGGCCACCTGCGCACCCGCCGGTGGTGGGAAGACGACGCGGGGCAGCGGCGGACCCGGCCGCACGCGGTCGTCGACGACAAGACCCGAGGCGGCCCACGGCACGGCGGCCACGCATGCACGCATGCGGCCATGGGGCGACGGCGGCGGAGGTGAAGCGGCTCAGCGGTGGGGCGCTTCGCCGGCTCTAGGCAGCAGGCTGGCCGGCGCGGACGACGGCGGGGCGCAGCAGCAGTCGAGCAGCGCACGCTCGAGGTGTGCGCCTTGGCGGCGGTGGAGGCGCCGGCGTGCGGGGCACGGGAGGAGCCACGGGGAAACCAACACCGGCGGTGTCCGGTTGGGGTGGGTCGTGGAGGCGGACTAGTGCGGCGATGGCCGAGGAGCTCGCGCACACGTGAGGGGGCAGGGCAACGGCGGGTGTGGCCAAGGCGTGCTGCGGGGCAGCGGGCAGGTCGCTGTTCGGCCGACGCTGCGGCACGGGCGCTGAGGAGCAGTGGGTCCAGCGCAGGACCAGGGATACGTGTGCGCGCTCGCGAGGAAGGCAGGGCGACGGAGGGCGCGGCCTAGGCAGGTGCCACAGGGCAGCGGCCTGGCGTGCGTCGACTCGCCGAGGCCAGCAGCAGGAGGCGAGCAGGGGAGAGCAGGAGCTAAGGCTGCGGTCCAGCGCGGCCGTGGAGCTTGTGCGCTCACGCGCCTACGCGAAAGCCAGGCGACGGCGGCGCTGACGTCGTACGCGACAAGGATTTGTGTTGCTTGCGTGCGTGCCTTGCTCTGGTGGTGAGGGCTCCGGCTACTTTCCTGGTAGAAGGAAAAAGGGAAGCAGAGGAGCAGAGGCAGACAGAGGCAGCAGAGGCAATCATGGTGCCACAGAGATGATGCGACGAAACTAACAGATAGACGGTGGCATTTAGCGAGGGCGGCAGCAACTGAGGCATGCACTCGCTGATGGCGTGCTGCCGATAGCGTGTACCCGTTGAGCGCAGCTAGTACTATGAGCTGCTAATGATGCATGCATATTTGCGCTATGCGCTGGTGGCTACGGCAGCAGTAGCCCGGTGAGTAGGTGGGATGAACGGCCGAGAGCGAGCGGGCGAGGTAGTTGAGGTGAGCGACCGAGATCGTTCGCTAGAGTTGCCGTATCACGAACAGAGCACCAACGACACGTCTCCAACGCGTTCTAGCGAGGCTCGGTTGATTTTAGAGTGATTGTCGTAACCCCTAACGCAACTATGACATGTCACATGCTGCATACTGACCCATATGAGCGAAATACTTAAGCACTATTGAACTATTTTGCTCAACATAATTCGTCAAAATTGACCTTTCGAACATAAACCCAATTTCTCGTAGGCTCAACAAAAAGTTCTAGTTTAAATCTCGGATTCGATTTCTGAGCTATCATATATACTATCGAGTAACTTTTACACACCAAAACAAGAGTTGTATTTTTATCTATTAAACTTGCGCTCTAGATTTATTCAAGTACTAAATACAAGTTATATTTTATTTTGTTTGTAAAAAATGTTTTTCACACTTAATCCCCTAGAACAAACCATCCGCTACTTATTTGCTAGAATTATTGTCAGACATTCCTAAATATCTTTATGCACTAAATAATTTAACTCGGACGTTTATTTGAGTCCACAAAAATGAGTCACATATGATTCACTTATCACTTCAAGTTTGTTTTAAATCAAAATCCGAGAAACTTGTTTTGAAAATTTTTCTTAGGCCTAAATCTTAATGCTAAACGAGCTCGTAACACCAGAGGTGTTACACTGGAACGGCTATATATGTTGTAGCAAAAGATGTTCCATCAAGAGAAAAAAAATATTTGGAAGTCGCTCAGGTGCCTGCTGGCAGTCCCATAGAGGCTTTGCATGATCTTTATGATTGCTTATATATGCACTTATGTCGAACACCTTTTGTGTTTTGATTTTGAGTCATAGTCTCGTACTTATTCTTTTTTTTGACGAACATGCGCCGTAGCTTAAGTATTTTATTAAGGGCCTGTCTGGATTTCTTTATTTTGGAGGAATTAGAATATACTTAAAGGATTAGGCTATTTGGCTTGAAATTTAAGATTACATAACTTTTTAAAGTTCACATTTAAGCTTATCTCAAATTCATATGGTGGGGATGAAAATTTATTTTATTGATCATCATGTTATGTATCTACTCTGTAATTTATAGGACGCTCTTTAACTCGCCTTTCTATAGTAAAAATACAACATATAAACATCTCTCTTGCATTGTTAACAATAATATACAAATATATTTCATATATAACTATATTAGCTTAATTAATATATATCTAAATTATAATTTATTAGAATGGATTCAATCAAGATTCAAACCGGGCCTAAGAGGAAAGGAGTTTGAAGTTTGATACAACCGAGACAAAGAGGAAGCACGGCATTGCAAGACGCATACCCCGGCTTCCCAAGAATACTACAGCTTCCTATTACAAAGTACAATTTTGCGACAGCAAAGTATAGAGCACACCCTCCTAAGTCACCGCCCTCACCAGCAGAGGCGCTAGCGACCTGTAGCCGGCCTGAATCCACGCATCGGCTTCTTCCAGAATTAGTAACAGCAGGTGGTGTGGCTGCATTGATTCGTTCCTGAATACGGCGACGGTTGCGCTCATTCCAGACAGACCATGAGATGAGCAGTACCAGCGAGTCAAAATCAAAACCTTTCCTAAAATCGGGGCTGATAGCGGAGGCTGCATCTCCAGTCTAGCTGCACTGAGGACTTTGGTCCAAATTTCCCTGGAGTAGACACAGCCCACCAGGAGATGATCTGTAGTCTCATACTTATTCTTTCATTTGAAGATTTTTGAAGCGGTGAAGCCGGAACAAATCCATTATTAAAAGAAAATCGGTCTGTTTACGAGGACGCGTCCGCCTTCTGCCCTTCTCCGGTTCAGAAATCGTCATGCGCCTCAGCGCTAGCAAGAATCAGCCAAGAATTATGGCACCACGCATGACGACACAATCACAATCAGAGGATGGTTTATTTATGAATAATTAATATTTTACTCCTTATCGCAATCTCCGGATCGTAGTCGTAGGAGGAAGAGGTGAGAAGCGCATCACACATACACACAAAACCTGAATGATAATACATGCATGCCGTATTGCCTATTGGCACTCATTATTCAGATATATATACTAAATACATCGTGCATGGCAGCGCGAGCTAGCTCTGATCTGATCAGATCTGCTCGAAGTCCTGGAGCGCCCAGTGGCCGTCGGCGCCCTTGACCATGAACTTGTTCTTGGCGACCCACCACTCCACGGGCACCGGGTACTGGTCCTTGAGCGCGTCCTCCCCCTTGTTGGTCAGCGCGACGTCGCGGTCCACCTCCAGCCTGAACCCTCCGGCGCTTCCCTGCTCGCCGGCGACGCCGTGGAGGTAGCACTCGAGGTTGTGCAGCGTCGCGATCGTCCCGGGCTGCTTCAGGTACGGCGACCGCCACGTGGCGATGGGCAGCTGCACGGCCACGTCCACGTACCCGAGCGGCGGGTACGTCGGCACGATGTCGCCGGCGTTCTTCACGTGGAGCGCCCGAAGGTCCGGGAACGACGCCAGCGCCCTCTTGAAGTTGCCGTCCCCGACGCGCGGGCTCGCGAACACAAACGCCGTCACGGGGCACGGCGGCTGCGAAGAGCCCGCCGGCGGCGCGTTCACGCCGTTGGCCGCGAGGTCCACGGCGTTGAGCGTCGCCAGCGACGCGCCCAGGCTGTGCCCGGTCACCGTGATGCTCGTCACCTCGTCATTGTACAGTGCCATCAGCCTGCTCACCTCCGCCAGGACCTGCATCATATCATATTCATTCATGTGGTTCTTCACTAAGCACTGCACAGTACGTGATAAGCATCTGATTTGGTAATACGCCATTCATCCCAAAAACAATGCAATTCTCACTTGCCAAAGAATCAAACAATTTTAAATTTAACTAAATCTATAGAAAAAAGTACTAATATATTTTATAGTGAACCTAATTGGAGATATAAATGTTGATATTTTCTTACAAACTTAATAAAATAAAACTTAGAAATGGACTTGTCTTAAAACATAGAATTACATTCTTTTTTATGACAAAGAGTAAGGATAAAGAGTACATTGCTCGTGAACCCACAAATAAGCTTTTTTTTTGCGGAGAGTAGCTAGCTTGGCGTGCGGTTATATATGAAACAATAGCTATGTATCGTTGTGTATGATGATGTATATACGTAAGTCCTGCAAAATCAATTGCATATATATGCCGGTCATATACTCATATTTCATATATATCATGCTGCCCGCCCTTTCTAGTAGTAACCTATAACAATTAACAAAATTAGTTGCAACTTTGGTCAACCTGCACTGAGGCCAAAATACTTGAACAACAACAAATATCTTTATTCGAGCTGAGATATCGTTGAGGTGTGTCCATCAAGAGGTGGCATTTCGATAACTTATTTTTATTGTTATTAGTTTAGTAGTAGTTTGTACTAAAATCATATAATGTTTGATGAATATTGTAGATAATTTTTAATATTCATATCAAACCTAACGATTGAAACTAACTAGAATTTGTTTTAAAAGAAAAAAAAACTTCCTAAAACTAGCCTAGCTACTACATCACGGATTAGTACGGCTATAATTAGTTTGCAATTAGATAGAGTAAAATAATAAAGCTAACTTGCTCTTATTAATTCAATACTTCATCAGTCCCAAAAGGAATGTAATTCAAGTAAACCAAGTCACATTTTTTTAAAAGGATGACTGAGTTTATAGAAAAAAAGTATCAACTTTTATGCCTCCAAACAAATTTACTATGGAAATATATTTCATGATTGTTTTAGTAGATATTTATTTGGTATCATAAATGTTAGTATTTTTATATAGGTTTAATTAAATTTAAAATTATTTGACTCTAAAAAACGAGAATTGTAACCTTTTTGTGATGAAGGGAGTAGCCAGTATGTCAGCTCTCTGCCTCTTTCAGAAATTGTGAAATATAGGCTGGGTATTTTTCTCATTTTTTTTCCTTTTCGGAAGAGATAAATGAACGTGCCCGTATAGCTGACCTCCATCAATGCATTCCTTTTCGCATGAGCTAACTCGTTGCTTAATTAGATGCAAGTTTAAGCCAATGATCAGTGCCTGACAAGTAGGGCTTACCGAAACAATCATGCAATGTGCATGTGCCTAGACTCTACGTACAGCCACGAATTAATTCTTCACGGTGAACAATTTTCACCAATGAGTGAAACGTTTGCAGAAAATTGAACCTTAATTTTGTCGAAAACGCTGTGATTTTTAGGTGATGATGAAGTCAAAGAACTGGGAAATGGTCGATCTGAATCTCAGTAGTCATCAGTACATATATTATAGAGTAAAGGTAGAAGATGAACAGTGCCATTGCGGACTCCTGGAGGTAGAAAATGAATATTGCCCAGAAAAAAATCCATCAGGTGTGGTCCCTAAACTTGGGGTAAAATCTTTAAACCCAAGTGTCACCCGCAGAGGTCCTTAAACTTGTTCTTTTCCCGATCCCTAAACTTGATTTTAAGTTTCATGACAAAAGCAGAGATTATAAAACTTTAAAAAAAATAATCATAATTTTTTATATGAACCCAATGAAGATAAATTTATATCAAAATTGTAGCCCTCATGATCTGTTTTTGTAGATAATTTTTTGAATTAAAATGTTAGGGTACCAAAATATTATTGTATTTATATAGATTTTGAAATTTGAAATTTAAAATTATCAAACAATCTTGATATTGATAAAACGAAAGTTATAGTTCTCAACCGATCTACAACTTTGAAGTTGAATTTTTTTAATTAAAACAGCTTAGGGTCCCAAAATATTATTGTAAATTTACAGATTTTGAAAATTAAAATTTAAAATTATTTTTAATCTTGGATATTTGATCTATTGAAAGAGATAAATACGATCTACAATTTTGTAGTTGAAATTTTTTGTTTGAAGTCATTCAATGTCCCAAAATTTAATTTTAAATTTTAATTTTGCAATCTATAAACTTACAATAATATTTTGGGACCCTAAACAGTTTTAATTAAAAAATCTTTTACTACAAAGTCGTAGATCGTGTCGAGGGCTACAATTTTGATATAAAGTTTGTCTTCATTCAAGTTCATATGAAAAACTTATGTATTATTTTTGATATAAATTTTTTACGGTCAACAATTTTCACCAATGGGACTTAAAACCAAATTTATGCAGATGAAATTGAACCTTAAACGTTTTGTCGTTTAAAATGACTGTGATTTTTAGGTGATGATGAAGTCAAAGAACTGGGAAATGGTCGATCTGAATCTCAGTAGTCATCAGTACATATATTATATAGAGTAGCAGTAGGAGCTAACACTTGCCTGGTCTCTGGCGCTGGTCTGGTTATACTTGGAGTCCGGGTTGCTGGACGTGTACACGGAGAGGAACCCCCGGTGCACCAAGGCGGCCGGGTTGGCGGCGGTGGCGGATCCCAGAACGGGCGCGGCGGGCACGGGCGTGAAGTCGAAGTCGTTGACCCACTCGAGGCTGCGCATGGTCCCGCGCCACGCGACGAGGATGTCGCGGCGGCCCAGCGCGGCGACGCCCTCGTCGGTGGCGACGGCGACGTACCCCATCCAGTTGGACTCCCTGCACCACGACTCCGGCAGCAGGTCCGGCAGCGGCAGCAGCAGGAACGCCTCGGGCACGGGGAGCGCCGACGTGGCGTAGATGAACTTGGTGATGGTGTAGCTCCCGGCCGCCGCGGCGCCCGAGCTGGCCAGCAGGTCAGAGTAGCCGAACAGGCACGCGCCGGCGTGCGGCGACCGCTTCTCCTGGTTGAACCCATCGTAGGTGGCCTGCGTGAGCTCGCCGTAGGTGATGAGGTTCGTGCGCAGGTCGAGGTCCAGCGGGTCCAGCAGCCCCGACCACGAGTCCGCGCCCTGGAGCTCGCGCCACCGGCTGGCAATGCTTCCGAGCGTCATCGCCTTTGGTTTGGCTACTAGCTATAGCTTGCTAGCTAGAGTTTGGTTCAGACTGGTTGCTGGCTGTAGCTTCGTTCGGCTTGCATTGCTTCTTGGGGTGTATGTGTATTTATATATCGATCAGAAGATTTGGCACTGCAGGTCGCGTCGATGAACTTTTTATGTATTAAGTTTCGTTCTGAAATGCGTCTATCTCAGTGTGCCAAAAGATAATATAAATGCCCTATTTTATCGTGCAGCTGGAAAAAAAAATGAATAAATAAACGAGACAAATGAGAAAATCTAGATGCGCCAACGAAAAAATGTTTTGATAATGAAGACGACCTTAATGTCTCCGACAAACATTGATCTTTTCTTATGTAGCCAAAGAGGTTAGCAATGACTTTACTAACTTACGTTAAATAAAGCTTTAAATAGGAACACGCCAGGATATGCACTTTAGCCTGCTTGCTTTGATGCATGATAGTTCTTAAAAACGTTGTCAGGTCAGGTGTCCTGCCACGAACAGGGCAAAAACACCAACATCTATCTGTGAAAAAAAAAAGGCTAATATTGATCCACAAAAGACGAGCAGAACTCTAAAAACTGGAGTCTGAGCGCAAGGGGCAACCCGTGATCAGCGCCGGGGGTGGAAACGGGACCCACGCACCCAGCCAGGTAGGTAGGCGATCTGCCTGGCCTGGCAACAAGAATGGAGCCACAAGCAGGCTGTCGCTTGCCCGCGTGCAACCCTAGCTGCTTGTCCCGTCCAGGATCTGATGATCATCCTGCTTCACGCGCGTAGCTTTTTTTGTGCCGCCGGCGATTTCCATCATCCTCTCCTCGTTTTATCGATGAAATTTATCTGTTTTGTTTTGACGACGACGTTGATTGACAAAGTCACGGGATGACAGAATAAACATAGCGAGTGGAGGGATCCAGCTGCCCGTTCGCTTTGATGTAAAAAAGCCGAAACTTTCGGGTTTAGTTAGGTGGTGGTTTGATTGAAAAACAAGTCCAAGGTGATTATAATTTGAGGAGGTGTGTGGAATATAAAGGGGTATTTTGGTCCTACTGAGGAAAAACTGACATAGTTAAAATAGTCAACTAACGGATAATTGGTTAAAATAGACGATAGTGTTATTTAGGAAAGAAAATTTCAACTTGACGTTAGATGAAAGTTCGAATTTTTCAGTGCCAAATAGATAACTCTCCCTTATATATCACTAGATAGATGCAGGTCGCGTCGATGAGATCGATGACAACAGCTTTGCTATGTTCGTTCTGAAATGCGTCTATCTCAGTGTGCCAAAAGAAAGTGTATTATATCGTGCAGCTGGAAAATGACCGGCGAGATGCGCCAACGAAATGTTGGTAGTGAGACGACCTTGCGTCTCCGACAAAATGATCTTGGCTTGTAGCCAACATCTACACGCGTACATACGCTCCAAATAGGAACATGCCGGTCATGCACTTTAGTCTGGGAGATCTTTGATCCATGGTCTTCTTCCGTGACAGTAGCATTGACGAACAGTGACAAAATGTTCTGCTGGCAGAGATACGTTTCCGATCCTGCATGCATTGTCATCTGTGCCTGACCGCAGTGTGATCGCCGGTACGAGTTCTTAATTCAAACCCTGCAGGTAGGTAGACGATCTGATTCATCAGCGTGTATCATATCTTCGGTACAGTTTTTCGTTTTTGGTGATACAGATAGAGACGACGACGTGATTGAAAAATTAAATGCTAATTAATACCTGAAAATGAGTCTAATAGTTTATGAGTTCCTTCAATCCACTGTCCAACCGTCAATCTAAGCCTTCTCTGGTTTACTTATTAGGAGATCTTAAAAATAACGGCTATTAACTACTAGCTAGCTATCTTTTAGTGCTAATAGACCAAAACATGCCCCAAGACCAGTGCACCGGTTTTGCTGCATGCATGTCATCATCCATACCCAAATTATAATTAATTCCTGAAACTTGGAAGATGACAATGCATGCATTGTGACAGAGACAGTGCAAATTTAAATATTAGCAAAATAATAATATTTGAAAATGCTAAGTAAGTTTATTAGATTCAATCCACTGTCCATACCGTCAATCTATACCTATTCCTAATAAAGTTATCAATCTTTGTGTTAACGGCTATTAACTTTAGCTAGCTATGAAAAAGTGCTAATAGACCAAAACATGCTTGGAAGACCAGTGCACCGGTTTTGCTCAGTATGTAGATCATAACATCGATGGTTTGCAGCAAACCAATAAAAACGGGAAACATCCCATATTCGTTTTTCACGATGGATACAGTCCAGCGTGCTACATCATCTAAAAAACGAATAGACATTTTTTTCTACTTTTTTGGGAGCGTGTTGGGCAGAGCCGCTTGAGCATCCGGCACTATCCATCCGTGCCGGTTCATGCCTTGCCAAATGGATGCATCAGCCAATTGCTCGTTCCAGACCCTCCAACCAGAAATCCACACCTAAATCAATGCATCAGCCAATTGCCAAATGGATCCTTTGTATATGCCCTGAACCAGAGCCCCATACGAACAAGCATCCATGCATCGCTTTTAGGATCATCAACGTGTAAGCATATCTGCGTACCATTCCGGACAACTGATCCAGTACGGGACCTCAGAGGTGTCCCGCTCAACAGTTCCTATCAGACTCCAATCGCTGCAAAATCTCGACAACAGCAGTTTTGGATTTTTCATACCAGTATCTAGCAATTCCAGTGATTGGACTCCTGTGGCCAGGACGTTCAGACGAGCCCAAAACATGCATACAATCAAAGAGAAGCGCTCGGAAATAAGCAAGTGGAAAGTTTGTTCTCAATTCCCTCACGGCTCAACTAGTGGTGGCTCAGCACAAAAAGCACCGGTGTTTGCAAACTGTTCCTGGTACACGTTTTCTTCGTTCCGCTGGGTTTTATTACGGACCACTACGCCTCATTGTGCCAACCATAAGGGGGCGGGAAAAAAGGCAGTCAAACAAAAAATGCAAGGGATATCAATTGTTAGAAGCCGAGCAGGTTGCCTAGTTCCCGTGGGCGAACTTGATACCCTTCTCAATGGAAGACTTGAGCTCGCCCTTGAGGTTTTCCAGCCCCTTCTTCTCGAAGTCATTGAGCTCACCCAGACCAAGCACTTCCTCCACTCCATTCTTGCCGAGCCGTACCTGTAACATGAAAGGGAGTAATGTTAGAACTCCAAGACCATCTCGTGGTGAGGGAAAAAAAACTAACAAAATCAAGAGCAATGCTGCACCAGAACCCGTTCAACTAGCATAGGTAAAGACAGTGGCAATAGCGAGTTATTGGAGAACGCATTGTTTTTACACCTCCAGTCAAGATCACTTGAGGTTTAGATCAAGATAAATTATCTAAAGCTAATTCATTTGTCCTGTAAGTAATGTTGACCAGAGGTAGTGTCAGACAACTGAAGTTCCAACTGACAAACCATGACATGTAAGAGCATGTGAGATGCTACTTTTCAGAATTCCTGGTAACTCGAACTTGCTAATATGGAACCGGATGGCTAACATGCAACACGGATGCTCAATGCACCAAAATGGCAATTGGTTTGCAGGTTCGGTACTCCAGTCCCATTAATCCATAAGACACGCCGGACACATCGAGATAAAAAGTATTATAAATGTAAAACTGAACAATGAGAAAGTTCTTTTAACGCCTCCAACCACAAATAGTTCAGGACACAGAACTAAGAGTTTCACTTATATACTCCCTCCGTTCCAAATTGTAAGTCGTTCTGATTCTTCTAGATAATAACTCTTAGTATGTATCTAGACATAATATATATCTAGATGCGTAGCAAAAGTTATGTATCTAGAAAATCCAGAATGACTTACAATTTGGAATGGAGTGAGTCAGAAATAACTGTGAAACAAATTATACTATCATAATTTAAACGTCGGTAACTTGTACAAGGTTACAAGCCTTCAATAGAAAAAGAAAAGCAGGTAACAAGAACCACAGAGATTTACTTTGACCATATGATAAATACATAACTAAAATTTAGGTAGACAGTTATGCATTATAAGTACCTTGGAGGCAAAGAACGGCAACTCTGTCACAGTTGATTGCACAAAAGAGCACTCTACAATGTCCGGAACTCCATTCAGACCCTTCAAACATGCATCCGCAAAAACAGCACCAGCATATCTGCAAAACAAAAGGAGAAAATGAATAACGCTATTAGAAAAATAAATTGCACGGTTTGACCTAAAATCAGAATAAATCTAATGTGAAATTGCAGGGTTTGACCTAAAATCAGCATAAATCTAATGTGGTTATGTAAAAAAAAGGTTGGTGGAGTATTAGAGTTTGTCTACACAGACACTATGATATGATGGTTTTGTAAAAAAAAAAGGAGAGTACATATAAGCAGGGCACTTACGGAAGCTAAGGTAAAGTTACAGAGAAATTCCAGACAAGGGGGGTGTTAGGATGAGGGTGATTGCTCTGTATAGTTAAAGAATATGGATCCAAATCCCACCTACCCAGACAGGGCCTCGCTCATATTGCATTAAATTAGTTGGAAAAGTAAGGTACATGATCTGGTACATATGCTCATGGACAAGCCCTTCATTTGGCAAGAAGCTTCATTCCAAATAATAGCAATATCTTTGAGTGGAATTTGACATGAACGCAATAACACAAAGCTAACAAAGTAGAATGACCAAGTTTTCCTATAAGAACAATGTTTACAAAAACATTGAAGGTTTCTTATATTCATAGGTTTAATTCAAATATACTTGTATAATGAATATCATAACCTGCTAATGATGTTCATTACAGTTACATAGGTTGATAGCTATACATCTAACTCTGACAGGAAACTGATGCAATAGACATACAATCAAATGAAGTTAATACAGGAACAACCATGAAACAGTAGTTGTAAATTTTGATAACAACTAGCTTGGAAGCTATAAGCTTAACATTACCAGACAATCTGTGCAGAAGCATGTAATGGGCAATCATGCAGCAGCTAATTTATGCCACAGGCAGTTCTTCATAGAAAATACAATGAAAGCAAGAAGCATCTATTGATTGACTGGTTGCAGAGCATAGAAGAAAATACTCATAATATTCCAAAACGATGATAAACAGACAGGATATGCTATAGTGCAACCAATAGACATGCTGACAACGGTCTATATGTTCTATAGACTTACGCCATGGACAATGTTGCAGATCCCTTTCCAGCCTTTGCTTCAACAACCTCCGTCCCGCCATCTTGTGTCCTCTTGGTGAGGGCCTCAATGTCTTCTTGGGACAATGAATTGCTTGCAGGAGTGGCCTGTATAAAACAGAATATTTGATTGAGTTTCTAGTTTCAGAGATATGGGGCACATCATAGAATACACCTACCATGACAATGGAAATGACTATCGCTAGCACAGTATGTTAGTACAACAAAGGATTATGCAATGTAAAACGCTAACCAAAGATAGCTTTAGAGTCCCTATGCACAATTGACAAATGGAAATTACTGCACTAGTCTAGGTAAACATTCTCTTTTGACTCCAGTCCACAGAATACAACCTCCATGCTAATCAACTTGCATATTTTGCCAACAATATCCACACGCTATTTGATCACCACAAGCCATGTTTATGCTAAAAGTTATTTTGTTATTTTCTAACTTGGTACATTTTGGAGGGATCATGTGTATCTCTCTTGCAGGAAACCTCAGACATGGTCCATGGATACAATACCTGTGAGAAGAGTGGCAGAATAGTAATACCCGCATGGCCCCCAACAACAGGAACATTCACCTCTGCAAAAGGCCACATCAATAACTCATGTTAAGAGGGGTGAAAAGTTAATTCTGATCCATAATCTCAATGTCTACAGCAACTGCCAACTAAAACATCATCTTATTACCAGTAACTGGCACACCCGCCTTTGCAGCATAAAAAGTTTTAGCGCGAACAACATCAAGGGTAGTCACACCAAACAGCTTCTTCTCATCATAGGTACCAGCCTTCTTGAAAACCTCCGCCGCAATCGGGACAGTGGAGTTGACAGGGTTGCTTATCATATTGACAAGAGCCTAAAACGCATATAATCAACACGATCAGTGTGATGGAACAAATTAAGCAAATCAAGATGAAAATGTTCACTGGACATATATAAGGAACAAGCATGCATATATCACTCAATATCATCTAACATCTCATATGCAAAGCATGGGAATGTTCACAGATCTATATGACTATATCCCAATGCATGTGAAGTGAGCTCTAGAGCAAGTGGGTCCTCTTTACTTCAGGTGGCAATTTCAAAGCATTGAGGCTGGCAAGTAGCACGTGGTGGTAATTCTGTATGTTTTGGGCAAACAAGCCCACTCCATTTCCTGTCAGGTAGGTGTGCCACTTTACTTCACCAGATCAGCACTGAACGCTAGATCTGCACCAAATCCAACCACCGGCCATTCCAATTGCCAAAAGTAGAGTACGAAATCTAGCGAGCAACCCTGAAATTTGCCCCCTAAGCTGCAGATCTACAGTGGCAAGGGGGCGCGACGCTTACGTTGGGGCAGTGCTTGGCGATGGCAGTGCAGAGCCCCTTAACGATGCCGGCGTTGATGTTGAAGAGATCGTCCCTGGTCATGCCGGGCTTCCTGGGCACCCCGGCGGGGATGATGACGACGTCGGAGCCCTCCAGCGCCTCCCCAAGCTGGTCGTCCCCCATGAACCCCTTCACCTGCGGGAGTCGAGTGGAAACCAGTGAGCTCGGATCCAGTCCGTCCGAACCAGGGGAGCGCGCCGAGCGGGGGTGTAGGCGTACCAGGGCGGGGGAGTTGATGTGGGAGACGTCGGCCGCGACGCCGGGTGTCCCGGCGATATCGTAGAGGGAGAGGGAGGAGACGAGCGGGTTGAGCTTCATGAGGAGCGAGAGCGGCTGCCCGATGCCGCCCGCAGCGCCCAGGATGGCCACCTTCCGCTCCGGGTTGGCCGAGGACGCGTAGCCGCGGCTGCGGCGGAGGAGCTCGGCCGTGGACTTCAGCAGCGACGGCCTCATCGCGGCGGCGGGGTCGGGGCTCGCTCGCTCGCTCGGGCGTGTCTCGCTGTGGATTGGTGGGGGAGGAGAGCGGAGCGGCGGCGGCGTGGGGTGCTTGGGATCTGAAGGGAAGCTGTTGGTGGCGGTGGAGAGAGAGAAAAGGGGAGGGGTTTTTTTTCCCCTTTTTGGCGTCTCGTCTCGACGTCTCCGCCCGTTTGCCCGAGGTGGTTTTTTTTTTTTCTTTTGTGTGCCTTCTTGTTCTTCTTGTCCACTTGGGTTTATCTGGCTCACTGGCTGAACTGTGGAAGGGTCACTGGCGCACTCAAAGTGCCTGTTCGCTCGGAGAAATTTAGATAGTTTTGGATGGTTTGAAGGAACGCTGGAGAAATTTAAGAGAGAAAAATCACTATTCCAAATAAAAAAAAAGCAGATCAAGTCGAATTTAAGACGACACAAGCGGGGAGCCAAAAGAGTGCACAACGAGCACGACGGCGCTCGCACCACCGCAGTTCAGCGGTCAAGATGCTTTTGGGCCTTGGTTTTGTGCTTCACTCTGGATGGAAATAGACCGCCAAACTCACAGCTGAGCTCACAGGAACAGGAGGCGGCTACAAACCCAACGGTTTCTGCGTTGCGGAGGTATGCCGCAACAAAATTTAGACAAATTATCTCCCTTCCGAAATCCAGAGTTCAAACTTTGGTATGGTATTATCACAACATGAGCCTCGCCAGAGCAATTTCATTGTATAGAGAAATTAGAGTACAAGCACAATGATGTTTCTCACTTGCTCTAGCCATTTATGCATCAAAAAACGAGCATCGATCGCTAGAGAGCATACTATTTCGTGGACTGAAGGAATTCTTTGATGAACGAGTAGAGAAGGAATGTCTGTGAATTGGGTGTCTATAGAGTTCTGTTTTCTGAAAAAAAAATTGACCTGCTCTGCTGTCTTCAGCCTTCACATGTTAAATTTGGGAGTCTCTAGAGTTCTGTTTTCTGTTTTGTGGGCTTGCTGTCTTCACATGTTAAATTTTGCAGGCAAAACATATTGTTTATTCTCAATGAGAGCTAGTACCTATGTAAAGTTTCCTAACGAATTCATCTCAATTGCCCAACTTTCCAGATAGCCAACTTTCTTAAAGGGTACTTCGCCGCATCTAGCAAACTGATATACTGATCTCCAAAATCATCTATACCGTTGTGAGACCCATAACCTGACACCAAACATACGAAATATACACTAAACCTAAATACACCTGGAAAGTGCGAGAAATACACCTGAAGCGTTTTATATGGTACAGCAGACAAATAGATAATAAAAAGGCAGCACTAAGGGGGTTGCCACAAGAACGTTTAACATCAAACAGAGTTACAAAGCAATGTATTGAGTAGCCAGCAAATTCATGAAGACGAGTCCATCAATTTCCACACTCAAAAGTTGTAACACATCCAAGGAGAGAAAGATGATCCAGACAATGCTAACTCAAGAGAGGGTTCACCCTAGAACAACTTAAAACGCAAGGCACAACTCCTGCTCAAGTCTGAGACTCATGATCATGATCCTCTCTACTCGATCAGATCATCATCATCATCAGGAAGAGGTTGTGCAGCCGCAGCAGCAAGCTCAGCTTCATGCCTGAGTAAACAAAAAGTGAATCAGTTCTTGCAAAACTTGAATTGAGGTGACAGATTAAAGTATAGGTACATATAAAATGAATAAAGTGGACAAAAAACAAAAGGTGACACTCACTGTTGCTGCATAGCCATGTCGATGGTAACTTCCGGAGGCTTCAGGGCAACAGCTTCAACAAAGTGAAGGTTCGGATCACTGAAAGACCAAAGACATTCACAAGTATAAACATATAGTGGTAATTGGTTGTGAGCACAAGGTGCAAAGAACAAAAGTAGTTAAGTCAATTACCCAGCCAGCTTCCTCGCAAGGTAAAGGAAAGGTTTCTCAAAATTGTAATTGCTCTTGGCAGAAATTTCATAGTACTGCAGATTCTTCTTCCTGTGGAAGGTGACCTGCTTGGCTTTCACCTGCCTGTTCTTGACATCAACCTTGTTACCGCAAAGGACAATTGGGATGTTTTCACACACCCTGCATGAATTCATAATTGAACATCAGAATTTCCCAACAAAATTGTAAATCAGTACAAGTTTACGACAAAGAAAGACTGCAACAAACCTGCACAGGTCCCTATGCCATGTAGGAACATTCTTGTATGTCAGCCTTGAGGTTACATCAAACATGATGATTGCACATTGACCATGGATACTGCATGGGAATAGAAATCACAAAGAATGTCAAAAAATGTAATCGAAAATAGTTCAGTACTGAAAGTATACATTGACATCACGGTAGGGATGAAATCGGACGGAAACGGGCGGAAAAACTCCTCTCCCATTTCCATTTCTATATTTTTAGCGGAAACGGGATCGGGTTCGGGAAAAAATGGAATTAAAAACGGATGGGGATATACGGAAACAGACAAATACGGACGGAGAGCCGGAAAAATAAGTTAGAATAACATGATCAAATATTCTTGAGTATACATGAACAAAGTCACAAAATAATATACACGTACGAAATTATCGGTCCAATATTCACTAGTATACCATGTGTTAACATGTTAACATGCATAATTTGTGATTAGTAGGTTTATGAACATATCAATTTCTAGACATATCTCACATAGATTGAAAACGGGATGAAAAACGGAATAAATACGGGTCAATTCTGGATAAAAACGGGATCTCGCGGAAACGGACGGAAAAACCCCTTTCCCGTTTCCGTAAGGGATCCCACAAATACGGAAACGGACGGAAGAAAGTAGAAAACGGAACGGGATTTTTTCCGTCCGTTTTCAACCTTACTTCACGGTGTATGTAAACTTGTTAGTTCAGATGTTACTGAAGATATATCACAAATAAGACTTACTAGTATCCATCCCTGAGGCCACCGAACTTCTCTTGCCCAGCAGTGTCCCAGCAGTAGAACCTGATCTTACCACAGTTTGTGGTGAAATCCAATGGGTGGACTTCCACACCAATGGTTGCTGAAACAACAAAATGCATTAGAGAAGCTGAAAGCATTATTGATGGTAAGTAAATGAAGGAAACCCCAATCAACAAGATACTTACGTTCATATTTCTTCTCAAATTCTCCCGTGAGATGCCTCTTCACAAATGTAGTTTTACCTGCATCAAGAAAACATCAGGATAAAAATCACACAGGGCCAACAGAAGAGACGATAAAAGGGTAACGGATAGATGTCGTGTATACAATAAATAGTCATGCATCTAAAGCCTATGAGGACAATACCATTATGCCTTAGCAACTGAAATTTGAGCATCTAGCTAATGAAGGTTGCAAACAAAAAAAAAAGATAAATGGCGTCCGGACGTAAGAGTTTTGATACAAACAATCATGCAGTTTTGTACCAGGAGCTAACTAGGTTGTGCATCGACTATCGTATTAGCATTCAAAATATTAGAAACAAGAAATGAACCACCTTCACCTCAAATTTAGTGGAATCACATGTAGCCCTCACTTAGAAACGGATTTGCTACAATACAAAAGATAATAAAACACCTGCATAACAAAGACTCGTCTTATGATTTTATATATTAAGGTATTAATACGACATTAGGTAGGGGGAGGCAGCCCCTGTGATCCTCAGCGTCTATCTGAAAAGGAATCTAAACGAGGGGAAACGAGGTCTAATATATTTGTGCAGTTTATATGCGAAAACGAATCTAAATGAGGGGAGATAACTACAACATAGAAATGATTAAAATCAGTTTTAGTGGAACTGTCTATCTAATATTCCAGTAACGGAGCTCGTGAGGAAACTAGGAGGAGCCAGCCCCTATGATCCACACAACGCCCAAGTTCAATCCATCAGATCTCGTAGAAGCATTGGCAGCTTCCACCGTTCCCAACAACCAATCGAGACACGGAGCGACTCGGAAACTCACCCGTTCCGCCATCGCCGACGATGACAAGCTTGAAGCTGGGGTACTCCACGGTCCCCTGATTCGGCAGCGCCTGCGAAAAAAAAACACAAAACATCGCGGATCAGACACGCGGCCACAGATCAGGAGATCAAACACGGCGGAAATCGGATCCGTGCGGGGCTCTCACCATCTCGGTCGCACTGGAGGGGGGCCGCGCCTGATGCGGCGATGCGGCGGGCTTCGGAGCACGGGGTCGGGGAGCAGCAAAACCCTAGAATTCGAAATAGAATTGGGCGAGCCGCCGGTGGAGGCGGAAGGTTTTATAGCTGCAGTGGCGTATTGTTTTTTTTTCTCGGGGTGCGGGGTTTTTGTAGCTTTGGATGGACGCAGGAATTGTGGCCGCCGGATCTTGGGCGGCGGCTGGGGATCGCATCCGGCTAGCTTTCCTCCCACGCGAGATTTCTGGACGTCGGATCCGAAAGCTGCCGTGGAGGGGTGGACCGCGTGGGCTTTATGTTGTGTTCGTTAATAATGATCAACACCACGAGGTGATGGCCCAACTCTTCTTTTCATATGGTGTTTGCTTACGGCCCAATAGGTTTATAGTTTGCTCCTGTAAAGAGGACAAATATGTGCTCGTGATCTGTACAGTGTGTGACAGTGACATGATGTGATCGCAATCTGAGGCAGTAGACTCGTACTGCAATTTCTCTCACTGAGCGAATGATTACAAAGTGGTTCGTCTAATCTAATCTATCTACTAACGCCCAATTATTTACAAAAACATGTGTCGATGCCCTGGAGTCAAGTAGACAACCACCCATAGTTCGAGGGGTGAAGTAGATAGATTAAATAACTCCTTAAACTATTGAAAACTGTCTAAATAATCCTGAAGCGGCTTTAAAGGTGGTTTCACTGACGTGGCATATTAAAAAATCTACATAACCCCCTAACATATCAAGAGTGGATTAAATAACCCCTCAACTATAAAACCAGATATTAGAGCCCTTAAAATATATCTAATAATGTTCAAATGACCCTCACAATAGTCTTGTTGGGCCGTTTAGACATCGTATCTCTCCACACTGGCCTAAGCACCTATACTTGCACGTAGGCCCATTGGTTGTCTCCCTCTCCCTACTCTTTCTAGGATTACTGCATCGCTCGATGAGCACCACCCTGTCTTTTGCTCGGTTGCTCCACCTTATTGCACTCCTCGACGGCACTGAGTTCATGCCCTGTGCCTAGACCCTTGTCATTCGCCCCCTTTCACATCCTCCCACTGTCTCATTGTCTCCTCCTATGGCTACCTAAAAAACTGAAGGACAACCTGATGGAGGATATGGGAGGGGCCAGACCGGATGACGAGGGTGTAGGCTTGGGTGCTTGAGCATGCACACAACCATAGATACTTAGGCTAATGTGTCGGGATATGGTGTCCAAACGGACCTACAAGACCATCCAAGGGGATCATTTAAATATTATTAGATACTTTAAGGGTTATAATATCAAATTTTATAGTTGAGGGAGTTATGTAGTCGATACTTGATATGTTAGGGAGTTATGTGAACTTTTTAATACGCCAAGTCAACGAAACAAACTTCAAAACCGCCTCAAGAGATTATTTAGACAGTTTTCAATAGTTTGAGCGGTAGAATACCTGATTTTATAGGTGAGGGGTGAAGTAGACAACCATCAATAGTTGAGGGGGTGAAGTAGACTTTTTTCTATATTATTGTCTAGATACATAGTGACCACGGTGCAAGCAAACGATCAACAAGATTTACAAAGTGGTTCAACTAAATAATCGAGCTAATTGCACGTACAGTGTAGGTAGGTAACTAACGCTCAACTATGTTTTGACAGAAACAGGTCGATCGCCCTGTTCGTTTGGGCTGGTTTGGCTTATAAGCCATGACTGAAAGCACTGTTGGCTGGTTTTGTGTGAGAGAGAAATATTGTTCGTTAGCTGATAAGCCATGATTTATAAGTCAAATACGACCGAGCGAAATGTCCATGACCTGGAGTCTCCAGAAAGTTTGGATTTCGTAAGGGAGAAAAGGACATGAATCTAACACTGCGCGTTGGTGAATTTTCACCTTTTTATGACACAGCACAGCCGCATGTATGGTCAATGGGAGACGATGAGTGGGGAACATCACGGACCACTTATATTCACAGTGCAATTTTAGATTTAAACTAAGTGTGCATTTCTCAAGTTTATGTCTTTGAATAGGTTTATTATATGAAAATATATTCCATGACCAACCTAATCATATTTTGGTACCATAAAATGTTGGTACCTTTTCACATAAATCTGATTAAATTTAAAATAGTTTAACTTGTTAAAAAACGAGAATTGTATTGTTTTGTACAGCGGGAGTAGTATGGAGCAGAGGACTTGGATAAGTGGGAGAAACTAGCTGTGATTAAAGGACAGTATTACGTTCAGAGGCCCTGTTCGTTTGTCTTATAATCCGTACTTTCTAGTTTGTTGTTTTAGCCGAAACAGTGTTTTTCTCTCATAACAAATCAGTCGGAACAATGTTTCATTTTTTTTTTCAACGAAACGAACGAGGCCAGAGTATGTGCATTCAGATTCAGTGCTATGAAGAGTGTTGATCTCAGACGATCAGCAGATCACCAGAAAATGATGGGACAACAAGTGTTGAACGAATATGTTTCTATTCCCGCCTTGTTTAAATGCCATCCAAATTCTAAGTTTTTTCACTCTCTCTCCATCACATCAATTTTTAGCCGCTTGCATGGAGTATTAAATGTAGGTAAAAAAATAACTAATTACACAGTTTAGTTGGAAATCACGAGATGAATTTTTTAAGCCTAGTTGGTCCACGATTGGACAATATTTGCCAAATAAGACGAAAGTGGTACTATTCATCAGGGTTATTTTTTGTTTTTAAGTGAACGAGGCCTCCTTGTTCTTTTCTTGAATCCACAGTCACAGAAATTCCACGCACGTGGCTGTTCTGCAGTGTGGCCGCACAGGCTTGCCGCCTCGTGCTTTCAGCTTTCGTATCACAGTATACAGTAGTAGTGTATATTATTATTCCCTTATGGCTCGTGTCAATAGGCACTATAGTCCCGCCGTTCGTTTCGCTGAAAAATCAAACTGAATTCCGGCTGATTTGTTATGAGAGAAAAACGCTGTTTCGGTTGAAAAAATAAGCTGAAAAAAACGGATTATAAGATAAGCGAACAGAGCCTATACGTCTATACTTTATATATATGCACATGCACACCACGTGTGTATATACATACTGTATGTATGTATGTATGTAACAGCTAGCAGACCGGCGGCCGATTCAGAAGTGTACGTATATGTAACACAAAACGATCGACTCCACTCCTAGTATACATTGATTCTACCACGGCTTTTGCTACGATAATCCGATGGATCAAAAGACAGACACAGGCATGGCAATGGCGAATTGGCGATGCCTGCAGGCTGCGAATCAGCCATCAGATGGCTGACACCTTGGGGACGTCGACGGGGTACCTGTCGATGTCGTCCATCCAGGGGTTGCCCTTCTCCTTGGCCGGGTTCACCGACCGGAGCGCCTTCCACACGGCGCTGTTGCACTTGAACCCGGAGCCGAAGGCGATCTGCCAGGTGCGGTCGCCCTTCTTGATCCGGCCCTTGGCCTCGGCGTAGGCGAGCTCGTACCAGAGCGAGCTGCTGGAGGTGTTGCCGAACCGGTGCAGCGTCATCCTGGACGGCTCCATGTGCCAGTCCGTGAGCTTGAGGTTCTTCTCCAGCTCGTCCAGCACCGCGCGCCCGCCCGCGTGGATGCAGAAGTGCTCGAACGCCAGCTTGAAGTCCGGGATGTAGGGCTTCACCTTGCGCTTCAGCACCTTGCGCGCGACGAGCGTGGCGAAGAAGAGCAGCTGCTCCGACATGGGCAGCACCAGCGGGCCGAGCGTCGTGATGTTGGTCTTGAGCGCGTCCCCGGCCACGGCCATCAGCTCCTTGGACAGCGACACGCCCACCTTGCCCTCCGCGTCCTCCCGCTGCCTCACGCAGCCGAAGCAGCGGTCGTCGGCGGCCTTGTGCGTGCGCACCGTGTGCACCAGCTGGTACTTGGACCGGCGCCGCGCGGAGCCGCGGTTCGACAGCAGGAGCGCCGCCCCGCCCATGCGGAACAGGCAGTTGGACACCAGCATGGAGCGGTCGTTGCCGAAGTACCAGTTGAGGGTGATGTTCTCCATGCTGATCACCACGGCGTACGTGTCCCGGTGGCACTGCAGCAGGTCCCTGGCGAGGTCGACGGCGATGAGCCCCGCGCTGCAGCCCATCCCGCCCAGGTTGTAGCTCGCGACGTTGCCCCGGAGCTTGTAGTGGTTGACGACCATGGCGGACAGCGACGGCGTCGGGTTGAAGAGGCTGCAGTTCACCACCAGCACGCCCACGTCCTTGGGCCGCACCCCCGTCTTGGCGAACAGCTCGTCCAGCGCGCCGAACATGACCATCTCCGCCTCCTTCCGCGCGTTGGCCATGGACGGGTTGGGCGGGATGTTGAGCACCGCCTCCGGGAGGTACGTGTCCTCGCCCAGCCCCGACCGCTCGATGATCCGGCGCTGGAACTCGATGTTCTCCGGCGTGAAGGTGCCCAGCGACTCGGTGCAGTTCATGAACCGCGCGCGGCTGCTCTTGCGCTCGTCGTCGGGCTTGTAGCACGCGAAGTCCACCAGGTACACGGGCCGCGGCCGCGTCAGCGCGTACGCGGTGGCCACCACCACCAGCACCGTGGTGCAGACGAGCACGGACACCAGGTTGTACTGCAGGCTCTGCCACAGGTCCGCCAGGTCGCGCAGCGTGAAGGTGGACAGGTGCGCCGCCACCAGCCCCGGCAGCGGCGCCAGCAGCAGGTACGCGCCGTGGCTGATGAGGTGGTGGTACCCCAGCTTCACGTACTTGAGCTTCACCGACTGCTTGAAGTCCGGCATGCCGCTCGCCGCCGCCGTTCTTGGCTCGTCCGCCATGTCAACTAGCGAGCAAGGACGGACAACGATCGCCAATCACCACTATCTCTCAACTTGTTTCGACGTGTGGGCGATGGAGCGTCAGGCCCGCGCGCCCCCGTGGGCTTATATAGAGGCCACGCACGCAGGCACCGATCTGATCGAGTTCCGACCCGGTAAACAACTCCGAGACCAAACACCAACTCGATCAGGTGCGCGTGAAGCCAACCGTGACGGAACCGAGAGGAGGCCGGCGCCCACCTACTACCCGATCGGTCTCGGAGATCCAAACCGAAAGATACGCCGCGCACAGCGTCGGGCCGGCGGATCGGAGCCGCGCGGGCGGCAGGCAGGATGAGCAGGAGAGAGTCCGCGCGCCAGCGGTGGGCCGGGCAAGCAACCGCCCGGGGTTGTGTTGCGTTCGAAGGCCTGGACACGCTAGCGGCGCTTCATGCGTTCCGCCTGACGGCGACGGTTACGGGACCGGGGCGGGCGGGAGGAGGAGGATGAGCCAGGAGGAGGGGAGGGCCCCGGGTGAGCGCGACGTGGCGGCCCGGCATCTTGTAGTCGCGCGCGGGCGCGGCCGAGCGAGGCGATTAGCCCCGACCCCCGAGAGAGCCGTGCGCGGCTGCGCGGGCGCCGGTCCAGCCATACACGCGGCCGGGCGCGGAGTTCGGGCCTCGGGGGACGGACGGTACGCGAACGTGCGGTGCGCACCTGCGCGGCGTGTGGTGCACTGTTTCAGATGAAAAAAAAAAGAAGCGAAGCCAGGTTTAAGGACACGCGAACGGAGCCTACGCCTTTTCCAAGCGTAACACACGTATACGCGGTGGACGTACGTAGATTATACTTCCTCCGTATAGAAAAGATACAGTTCCAGTCTAGTTCTAAAAAAATTATACTAAGGCCCAAAATGAAAATTGGATCCAAACAATCGAATTTTAGAGTGAGATTGTAGAATCCTACCCCTACTATTTTTCACTGTGCAAAGACAGTAATCGCTATAAGAATAAGATCTAAACATCCCCCCCCCCCCATCCAAATTCTATATTCAGTATCTACATTCCAAAAACTTACTATGAGAATGAGACCAAGCCGGCACCTAAGTCAAACGATTTAAGAATCTATATGTTATTGTCTTGGTAATGAAACACACTTTTTAGTATACTTATTATTTCAAGGCATATATTTGGATTAAAATTTTATAAAATTAGTCAAATTTAAAGCAGTTTGATTTGACTTTTATCGGACCTAAAATTACATTATTTTATGGAATACATGTAGTACACGCACTTATAATATACTTCCTTCGTCTCTAAATAGATTTAAATTCTAGAGTTGTCTTAAGTCAGACTTTTTTTTGTGTTAGACCAAATTTATAAAAAAAAGTATAAATATTTATGACATCAATGAGCATTGTATAAAAATATATTTTATATTATATCTAATTATACTAATTTAGTGTTATAAATCTTCACTCTCTTTCCTATAATTTTAGTAAGAGTTTAAAAAGATTAATTTTTAAAATTAATTTATTTGGAGAAGGAATACGTAAATGAAAGGCTATTTCGGGGCCATTTCGTTGCTCGCTTTCATGCAAATCGTGTGTACCATGAAGTCCTTCATGGAAGGATTCTTTTTCCAAGTGAAGTTTTTGGACTTACTCTAGTGGATGATTAGTGCAAGTAACAAAGTAGTACAAAAAAAGGCAGGGTCAAAGTCTTAAAGAGATGGCTTCGTTCGGGTTACCCTATATTCGATTTGTTTGGTTTTTTTAGTTAGGACAATGTTTTTCTCTCACAATATTTCAGTCAGAACATAGTTTTTCAGCCAAGATTCAGCAAGCCGAACAGGGCCATGCTGCTTTCTCCACCGAATCACCTTGTCAGTGGTCACACTGCACAGAGGTCAGTCAGAGGATAGATATATGCAGTCGATCTCATGTTCCTTTCGTCTCGCAAGCACGTTACTGACCTGCCCAATCATCACCCTTCTCGCCTATAAACCTGCACGGCAAGTTTCCTCAGCTTTTCCGGTGTGTGAAAACCTTTACATATATAATATTCGTTGCAGCCCAGCGGTCTCTGTTTAGTACTGCAAAAATAATGCTTTTTAAGTCGTCGTAGGTCGCGAGAACACATGTTGAATTGCTGACAAAAAAGCGACGCCACAGACTCGACCAAACACGTTAAATATAAATAAAAGTGAAAAGAGGCAATGGTCAAAACCGCGCCGTAATTTGCTGAAAACAGTACGTGTTCACCTGCTGCTTGATCACGTCATTGGCCTGTATCCGCAGGCAGGCAGCATCGAAGATGAACTCGCAAGTCAGGTTCTTCCGCAGAGGGGCAAGAGGACTTCTTTATGATTGGACAATGGGTAAAATCTGGGGGTTTTACGAAAGCGGCATAGCGCCGTCTTCCTCTGACCCAACATATCGTGCTGGGATTGTTTAGCTCCTCTTAAAATTTATTCTCTATCCATAATTTGGACATATATTTAGAACATTAAATATAGACTATAAAAACAACTAATTATAGAGTTTACAACTAATTTACGAGACCAATCTTTTAAACCTAATTAGTTTATGATTTAACAATGTAGTGCTATAATAACACATATGCTAATGACGAATTAAATAGGTTTAATAAATTCATCTCGCGGATTACTAACGGATTCAATAATTTATTTTTTATTACTATCCGAACACCCCACACAACATCATCATGTGACACTTGATGTGACACTCCCAAAGCTTTACGCCCTGGATTTAAACAGGCCTAATTGCTACGACAAGCAGCAAGCGTACAACACAACTACACAAGTACTTCATAGACATGCATGTTTGACCATTTGTGGGCACCATGAAAGGGTTCTTTCTGTACAATACTAGCAGCGTGTCCGACACTGCCAAAATTCTCCAGAAAGGCAGCCAAATTCCACACACCAACATATCTCTCGACTTTTCACGCCACTTGCTAGTCTGCCACTGCTAGTATGAGTGTATGACATCTTCAAGGACGAAAACAAAACCTATTCCTGAGCCAACCGTTTACAACTACATCGCTATAAGTTTATATTGGACCAATATTCACATGAACACACTTGATTTACACCAATGCACTACATCAGTAAGCGATACCACCCGAGAATGCGTCTCCATCATTTATTAGGCTCTCTGTCAGCCAGTAACCATCCCATGAGCCTCCGACTCTCTATCACAAGTAACAGCAGTCGATTAAAACCACCAGATGTGTCTGAAATGACGGCAAGTGAAAAACAAGCTGACAGAGTGACAGGTACCTGAACCATTGTGAATTGAAATATTTCTTCTTCCTCTGGACGGGCTCCTTGTACCCAAACTCTTTGTTTAAACCAGTTCTGTTCAACATGGTGTGATGCAGAATGACATAAATTTAATTCTCAGAGAATGAAGATAATTATGTATATATGCATTATGCTAACTTTCTTCTGTTATGCATTGTAATACCTCTTCAACCCATAAACTGCTTAATATATTTCTTTCTTTGTGGCCCAGCAGCACTCTGTAAGATGAATGGTGAAACAAACGCCGGAAGCGTTCAAACTGGAATGTATTGGTGTCAGTTAGTCAGTACTAACACACTATGACTGCCAGTATAATCCAGAAGGAATAGGTTTCAGACTACCTGTCCTAGATCAAACTGTCGTCCAAAGTAAGTCGACCTTTCAAAGGGGTCAAAGCCTGCAAACTAATGAGACCACACAACTCGTCAGCCTGATCAAAGTTGAGTTTCATTAACACGATGACCGATGAAATGAAGAATTTTCGTGCTTGTATAGTTACCCGGTACATGACCTCTATCCCATAATCTTGGCGGGGCTGATCATTGTATTTTAAGGATTCAAGCTGGTATTCGACTGCTTCTTCTGCACTAAACTGAAATATAGAACCGTTTTAAATGCCCAATGTTGAGATTTAAATATTTATGCTCTTTTGCAATTATTTTCAGACAGGGCATTACATTCAACCTGGGACCGAAGGGCTTTCTCTTGCGAGTTTCAAGCCTGAGGCAAACAACAGCAAGTTCCAGTCAGTATTGCAAGCGCATCAACTCCAGGATTAACTCATGTTCATGTACTATGTCATACTAATTATGACATCTGGGATGTTAGGCCAGAAACGCATGCCATATGCCCATATCGTGGTGGACACAACTTCACAAGTTTCTTATTGCCTAGTAGAGGCTACTGTTAGAATAAACTACTGCTTTCTTGTGTGAATACACAGCAAGGGGAAGACGGCGCCGAAAAGGGCCCCTGTTGTGGTACTGTAGCCGCTGCAGAGACAGGCGCCGAACGGCTCACCTGCCGCACTGTAGCCACATGCAGGGACAGGCGTAGAAGTCAGTCCTGTTGTGTTATCTAGTTACTGTTATAGCATGTGCGCTGTATTAGGACTAGATGGATAGAGTTGTATAAATAGACTGCCACAACAACTCAGTAAAGAGAGTTCAGATTTGCTATCTTCCATACAGGGCTTCGGCCAACGCTGGTGTCTTGTACTGTGTGTGTATGCTATGTTCTCCCTCTTCTTCAACCTCTAGCCATAGTGTGTGGGGACAGACAACGCTTGTGGGTGCTCGGCAACACTAGCGGGTGCTCGGCAAGACTGGTGAGTGGTTCACTCATCTGAGTCGGTGATCCTGTGGGATAACAAGTGGTATCGGAGCCGTACAAGCGCCGTCGCCAGACTAACCGCTGGCGATGACGGGCGGTTCGGAGAGTGGAACTGCTGTGGCTGCCCAGCCACAACCGGAGGTCGTTGTTCGCACGGTGCGGGAGGTCAGCGGCACCAGTTGGCCGACGCTGACTCGCACCAACTATGGAGAGTGGTCGGTGACCATGAAAGTCAAGCTCAGAGCCCGATGGCTCTGAAATGCTGTTGACAAGGGCACCGACAATGAGGAAGATGACATGTCAGCGTTGGAGGCTATCCTCGCTTTGCATGTCTGCGTGAGTCTGAGGAGCCGTTAGGGGCG